GCTTGCATGTAGATCGTCCAGGTCTCGTGAACGTCCACCAGGTGGAGGAGATCCAGGACAACATCCTCCAGGCCCTCAACCAGCACCTGCAGCTCAATCATCCCGACGCCAGCTTCATCTTCCCCAAACTTCTGCAGAAGCTCGCAGACCTGCGGCAGCTGGTGACGGAGAACGCGCAGCTGGTGCAGAAGATCAAGAAGACGGAGTCCGAGACGTCGCTGCATCCGCTGCTGCAGGAGATCTACAGGGACATGTACTGAGTCGAACCATTCCAGGCACGCTGACCGATCACTGTGACCTTCAGAGTTGTTGTTTTTATAAAACGGACCATTTGTCGCTGATGAAATCAGTGCAAACTTAACTCTAAACCGGACCGGGTCAGATTGTGCGGGTCAAAGAGACGTCAGTGAAATGCAATATTGCGCTGTTTATACACAACAATACTCGCCTCAAATTTCCAGCGTCTTCAAATCGCAGCAGTGCATTCCTATTCTTTTAAGTTGCGACAAAACCGCGTTGACCAATGAGACACTTGCGAAATACTGCAGCGCTACCGCGACTAAAGCTATTTCGCCGTCTGAAGTTAAATACCAAAGGTTGCTGCTATTCGTGAAATCCGTTTAGTTTTCTCCATTTTCATTTGTTTGGGTCGTTCGCAAGCTAGCCTTTCGTTGTGTTGCTGATAAAGCCAAAAACAACGCTAACGCAACATACGAGCGCATTGTCGTATTTAAACGTATGCGTTTGTGTTCATGTGGCGGTAACAAACCTCAGCACTGAAGGGGGCGTTAGAGTTACCTTCAAATGATCAAATTATTAAACAAGATGTGTTATTTTTTTTCTACTAGCTACATGTAAACACGTCAACACGTTTAACTAACTTTAACTAATCTGCTCAGCAAGATTCTGCTCCGTCTTGATAGTAGTTGGGCTGACTTTAATGCTAATGTTCTCTATAGCGCCCCTTGTGGCGGCATTGAGAATGCAACAAGCTCTTGCATTGTTTCGAATCGTTATGAAACGCATTTCAAAATGAAACGACACATGAAACTTTCACTAATCTTAAATGCTTCAAGAGATTAAAACTAGATCGCTTAAGAAACAAAACAATGCTTAAACCAGCCTATGATGGTTTGCTGGTCTTACCTGGTTTAAGCTGGTCTTATCTGGTCTCCCAGCCTCACCTGCCCAAACCCTCTTTACAAACCAGCTACGAGACTAGCTAAGACCAGTTTAGGCTGGTTTTTCTTAGCGGGGATCGCTATTGCAACACCCGAACAACTGGCAGAACGTCATTACAACTTACAAACCTCGAACTTTCCATTTTTTAAAATTGTTTCTTTCTGTTTGCGTTTCTGAGAAATGATACTGTGATCACATTTATATCAGAGCTCAGATCAGTGATTGAATATCTGACTCCAGAGTTTATATTAATGTTATTTAATAACGCTTTATCAGTTGGTTTCCTGAATCAGTGGCTGTGGTCGCAACACGACGTCCCCAATCCAGCATATCATTATATAAAGCCTTTGACCTCAGTCTGGTGTTGTTTCCCGTGGTTGTGCTGCTAACTGGATCCTGTAGATGCTGTGAATCTGTGCCGTTTTGAACGGAGATGAATGTGAATGAGGGGAACACGTTCCTCCATCTGCACTGCAGGATGAACGACCGCTGATGTTTCCTACAGGCTTTTGTAAAACACCTGAAGAACATCTGAATAAAACTACAGGGTAAAACCTCACTAATGCATCTTCTGGGTTGATTCCTAAACATGCGTGTGTAGTGCAAACCAAACCTTTTATATTCAAAGAGAGATTTTAGGATTATTTTTGAGGTTAGTGGTTGTTTTAGAGGGTGTGTGGGTGTTTTTGGGTGTCACCTGGGTGTGTTGGAGCGAATTTTATTTTTCATAACTTTTTTTAAACGAGCAAATTGGCCCAAGTGTTCTAAAGTTTACCCCATTTGCTGTGCCCTATTTAAGGGTATATGGTGCATTATTCAGATCGGGACTTCGGAGCGCGTATCATGGTGAAACTATGGTTAGTGTAGCAAAACCATGGTTCACGAGTTCACACTTACTTATAATGAACCGAGTAAAGTTTATGCGTATTTGGCGTGCTGTCCGGGGAGAGGGCTCCGAGCTCGGTAATTACTCTCGAGCCCGGGGTCCTCCCTCTGGCCGGGGAGAGGGGTCCGAGCTCGGGATTAAGCCCGGACCCAGAATGCTCCCCCCGAGTGTTCCTTCCCGTGCTGGGGTAGGAACGGGCTGAAGGTGAGGAGTCGGGGTGGTGGAGGGATGCTAAGGACGGGAGATAATGGAGGTAAGGCTGCTTTGATTATTTATAGAGGTTCTCTCTTGAGCTGATTGGATAGATGGTGTAATTACTGATGATGAACTGGCCGTGTTAATTATCTGTGCGCGCTCCTCCCGAAACTTGTTAATAAAACATCACTTATTTTCCACCTTACTTTATATTTTATTCCACAGTTTTAATCCGTTAAGGAGTTTGCGTCCAATACATGGCACCAAAGCGTTGCGCCTGCCTCAAGATCTCTCGCTATTTACAGCCACTGGACACCGCGATTGATGCACGTGATTTTAAATGTTATCTTGCCTTGGCTGTGGCGTGTTCTGTGACAGCTGCAGCTAGATCTGACTGCTGAAGTGTCATCTGGGGAAGGTAGAGTAAGAGTAGCAGCATTTTCTGTTTTGTCACATGCATCTATCGGATCGTAAACAGACTGAGAGATCTTGAGGCAGGTGCACATAGGCTATTAGATAGGAATAAGATATAGGTTGCAAATAGGTAAATACATGTAGATTTGCTCTGTTTGTTTGCTTAAGTGCATCAAGTGTAGTGCAAGTGGTAAAAGGTCTTGAGGCAGGTGTGACACACTCTCTATTACGGATTAAAAG